TTAAATGTTTGCATATTTACATTTACTATCTAAATATGATCTTAAAGATTTTTTCCTTAAATAATTTATGCAATGATTTTACTGATATCCATTATAATTAATATTTGTCGAGTAATATTTTTTAACCTTTATTTAATTATATAACACTAATATTTTTTTTTAAAAAAATAATATTATTTATTATTTAAAAGATAATGATCACATTATTAAATAATTTTATTGATGGTTAGATAATAAAATTATATTAGTTATTCTTTAAAATTTCGACATGTTATTTATTTGTATATTATTGTCAACTATGATAGTGTTTTTATCACTTTCTTTTTTTGTTATGTTTCAAAAATGAACTTATTGTAAAATATTTTTCTATTGCATAGATGTTAAATAAACTATAAAGCCTTAGGATGAAAATTAGAAAAAATCTCTTGATTATGTAAGGGATTTATTTTTTGGCAATTGCTAAATCATTTAAAAAAAAAGAATTATTATGACAAAATTGAATTCTAAAAAACATGTGTGTGTATTTTGTAAACATTTATACTTAAAAATTTATTTTGAATTTGAGTATTATATGGTGAACAATAATTAATATAATTTATATTTTTTCTTATATCAATGAATAAATATGTATTCTAAAATCAAATAAATATTAGTATGACGTGTTAGCAGAATTATATATTAATTAACATGTTAATTTTTTAGCTTAAATAAACGCCACTTATTAAAAAAATGTGAAATATGGATGATCCAAGTCTATTGTTTTTTTGTCTAGACGTACAAGTCCTATAGAAATAATTGATTTATTATATGTATCACGTGCATCGCACGGGGTATACACTAGTTCTAAAAAACATGTGTGTGTATTTTGTAAACATTTATACTTAAAATTTTATTTTGAATTTCATTACATAAAGAAGACTACTTCTATAACTTTTATAAATAATAATAATCATTATACGACTGTAAATTTTATAATAAAATAAATTGTTGAGTATTATATGGTGAACAATAATTAATATAATTTATATTTTTTCTTATATCAATGAATAAATATGTATTCTAAAATCAAATAAATATTAGTATGACGTGTTAGCAGAATTATATATTAATTAACATGTTAATTTTTTAGCTTAAATAAACGCCACTTATTAAAAAAATGTGAAATATGGATGATCCAAGTCTATTGTTTTTTTGTCTAGACGTACAAGTCCTATAGAAATAATTGATTTATTATATGTATCACGTGCATCGCACGGGGTATACACTAGTTATAAGTTATAACTCCATGAACTTAAAATGCAATTGGTAACGACATAAATATAAATAATACTAATTAATTAAGAAGGGCCCTCATTTGTAGGCATGTAATAGTCAATTATATATTTTGTATGTAATAATCAATTACATTTATTTTTTTCAAAATACATTTGCTCAGTTCAAAATCCAGACATGAAGAACAACGTATCAATGATCCAAAAATATTATTCAATAAAGAAAAATATAGAATCAAAAAAAGAGGTTGGAGTCCATCTGAAGCTCCTTTCATGTGAGTTTATCTGTAGTTTAGGATTAGTTTATTTTTTGTTTATTATAATAAATTTACGTTTATGTAAATATAATAAAAAAAAATTAACAATTTATTTCTAGTTATTTTGTAATTTATTTTTAGTTATTAGAAGGTATATTTCTTGTTCATATGATGTGAAATTTTTAAATTTTGGTTTATTTTAAGTTATTAAAAGGTATATTTATGGTAAATTTCATGCGAATTTCTTCATCTTTTGGTCGATGATGCATTCCAACGAGCAAAACTGTGACTTTAGAAAGGAGTTTTTGTGATTGATTCTTTTCGATGTGAGTTGAATAATGTATAATTTCACACTAATTCAAAACTCGTAGATGTGCGATAAAGTAAACAAACTATCGTTCAATTGCAAAACTTTCCAGCCTCTCATAAAAAGTAAAAACCTTGAAATATGTTCGTGTACCTGTA